CCCAGGGAGGGATTTCACAGAATAAGGAACCGCCCACCTCAGCCCCACCATGGTTGGGGCTGAGGTAAGAAAATTTATGATTAGTCATAAAATACTGTAGTCATAATCATGAAAATGGTCATGAAAAACCGATCACATCCTTCTAAAAACAAATTTACGCACCCTCGCCTAGCAGTCACCAAGCCATACTCTGAGTCAGGTGCCGACTCAATGGAGTTTAATGTCATACTCAGGAAAGGGCGCAGATCTATTTTGAAAGGTGGAGGGGGACATTTGGTGAGGTTGGGGCTGAGGTGTGAAAATTTGAGGAAATAGTACCTCTAGATGGCCAGAATGCTACTTTTAGTAGCTTAAAATTCATCATCATCACATCACCATTAATATATATAGTCAAAATGAAGCGCCAACAAATTTCTCATGATCTTTTATCAGGGATTTTTTGGCAACCATAGAGGTCTTATATGTGTGATGTACAATAGAAAATAAAGTTTATAAACACTGTTTTTTAGTATGTACTTTACATACTAAAAGACAGTGTTTTAGTATGTACTTTACATACTTTTAAGCCGTGATTTCACAACAAAAAATTTGAGGAAAATATTACCTCTAGATGGCGGGAAATGGCACTTTTATATAGTAAAATTCATCATCATCACATAACCATTATATAGTCAAAATGAAGCGCCAAAAAAATTCTCATGATCTTTTATCAGAGATCTACTTAATATTCAGGACAACTTAGGCCTACTATAGTCTTTTTCGCCTTTAGCACAATTTTCTTCATTTGTTAATATTATTAGTATTATCATCTATTATTATCACCATCGTCATTATTATTATTATTATTATTATTATTATTATTATTATTATTATTATCATTATATTATTACAACTACCACTACTACTGGTGGTAGTGGGGGTAGTAGTGGTAGTGGTAGTAGTAGTAGTAGTAGTAGCAGCAGCAGTAGTAGTAGTGAGTAGTAGTAGTAGTAGTAGTAGTAGTAGTAGTAGTAGTAGTAGTAGTAGTAGTAGTAGTAGTAGTAGTACTAGTAGTAGTGGTAGTAGTAGTAGTAGCAGCAGCAGTAGCAGTAGCAGTAGTAGCAGTAGCAGCAGCAGCAGTAGCAGTTGCAGCAGCAGCCGCAGTAGGTCTAGCAGTAGCAATAGTAAACCAAACTTTATAAAAGCTTTAAAAATGATTTTTTTTTAAAAACTTAACTATACAATATCATATTTCTGTATCTTGGCCTGGGATTTATGAATTTAAGACGAATTTAAGATGATTTTTTATAAATCCGCCCCCTGAGCTGTAGGCTTTATAAGCCCGAACATATTAATTTTTGCGTTATCGTGTATAGTGAAAAATTGATTAATCTAACGAATATTCACTGGGTGACTATCAGGTTATCCGGTGACTTTTACTGATAAACGGTTATGGTGGGTTTCTATCAGAGCTCGTGTCACAAACTTATAGTAGAAGGAGTCAATTAGAAATTTTACAGCATAATCAACCCCCAAACTTCCTGTTTTGCTCTATGGTGTTATTGCAAAAAGTGACATGCCCTCTTCAGAGTTGACTATAACTATCACATAGCATAGGACAGCAAAATAATTTATGACATACCATGTTCAATTTGTATTGCAATTTGCGTTTAAAAAAATCACGCTTAGGCCTATGTGTTATAACTATTGTAGGCCTATTAGGCATATATATAACGTGTGATGATGTATATTTACATATTTTAGAAGTATTCATTTTGAGTGATCACAGGAAAGAATTTGTATTGGCTAGCATGTACAAGCTTTAAAATTTTAACACCGTGTTCACTCTGAATAAAAATATGATCAAAAAGCTTTTGACAGCAGGGGCGGATCTGGGTTCAAATTTTGTGTTTGTGTGGGGTCAAGTTTTTTTCATAAAAACCTCAAAAAGAAAGGGTGGTCCGGGGGGAACGAGCTTTCCAGACTTTTGAAGTGTCTTTTAGTGACTTTTAAGTTCTTCGAAATTCAAGGTTTACCCTCTTGAAAACGGTCAGGTAAACTTATTCTTATATACAGTAAATAGGCCTAGGCCTATTTATGTGTGTATACGTACATTAAAAAAAAGAGTTGCTTACGTAATATTTTTTTTCCATGCATGGAAAAAACACAAAGAGGAAGGGGGAACCGGGAAAATTTTGATTCTTAGATGGCGAAAAATGAGTTTTCCCGACTTCTGAAGTGTCTTTCAATGACTTTTAAGTTATTCAAAATTTAAGGTTTTCCTCTTTTGAAAACGGTCAGGTATATTTTTCTCATCCTTATTACAGTAAATAGGCCTATGTGCGTATCGGTATACACAATTTTTTTTCCAAGTGGAGTCAGGACCCCTGACCCCCATCCCAGACCCGCCAATGGACAGGTCCATAAAAACACTGACAAGAAATATATTTGATTCAAAAGACGTTAGGATAGCTTTAACGAATTCAAGGATAGCAAGGTAGAGTGGACGGAATCCGTATTGGGGGTGGGGGTTTAATATTTTATATTTAGTTAGGAAGTCATAAAGTCTATCGTCCATTGCCTTCTCGAAAAGCCTACGTATATGAATGTATATGTATATATATATTTATATATACATATATAAATATGATATTGAAAGAAGTTAGCCGTTAACACTGCTAAATAAATATAATATAAATCATCAAAGGTACATATACAGTGTTTAATAAGGACATGATGGAACATCGGCTACCTTGTAGCTACCC